GAACAAGAAAGTAAAGTTGAATTTCAACGACAAATTACAAAACTTAGTTCAGAAGTTCAACAATGGCGATCACGTTATGAATCAGAAGGTAATTTCTTATAGATTAAAAGACTAAAACAAAGATAGTAAGGATGTAACGAGCTTCTCGGGTCTGAGGATGGATGTGAGTGAGTGTGGGCACAATTCCCTTCACTTTCACTAACATTTTCACCCACACCCACCAACTCCCACATTCATTCTGACACCCGAGCTCGAGCCCCGACTGAGCCCGAGAGGCTCTGGCTCGGTACATCCCTACAAAAAAACGAATCATCAAGATAGAAGAGAGCAGCAAAGCTGTCGCGAACCCAAGGGAGCGATCCCCCCCACAATCCTGATATCTTCGTGGCAGTACTGGAGAGAAGATTATAAAGTAGATGATAAAATCATAATACATACAACAAGCTCTGATTCAATCGAGAACTATTATAACATAATTCATAATTTTATTGTTATCTTATAGGTTTATCTCGTGGTGAAGAACTTGAAGAAGCTAAACGTAAGTTAGCTGCTAAATTAAATGAAGCTGAAGAACAAGTTGAAGCTGCATTAAATAAATGTAATGCATTAGAAAAAGTGAAAGCTCGTTTACAAGGTGAAGTTGAAGATCTTATGGTTGATGTTGAACGTGCTAATGCTAGTAAGTTAATAGATAAAATTTGATTTTAATAAACAAAAATTCTTTTTAATAATTAAGATGCTTCGGCAATGGATAAAAAACAAAGACAATTTGATAAATTAATCAATGATTGGAAACAAAAATGTGAAGATATAACGATTGAATTAGAAACATCACAAAAAGAAGCACGTCATTATTCAACTGAATTATTTAAACTTAAACAACAATATGAAGAATCACATGAACAAATTGAAGCTCTTCGTAAAGAAAATAAGAATTTAGCTGATGAAATTAAAGTAAAGTAATATTGAATTTCATATATATATGTAATTATTTGAATTTTATTTTATAGGATGTTATGGATCAATTAGGTGAAGGTGGAAAGAATGTACATGAAATAGATAAAGCACGTAAACGTGCTGAATTAGAAAAAGAAGAATTACAAGCAGCTTTGGAAGAAGCTGAATCAACACTTGAACAAGAAGAAACTAAAGTTCTTCGTGCACAAATGGAATTAAGTACGGTTCGCCAAGAAATTGATCGTCGCATACATGAAAAAGAAGAAGAATTTGAAAATACACGTCGTAATCATGCACGTGTACTTGAATCTATGCAAGCAAGTTTAGAAGCAGAATCACGTTCAAAAACTGAAGCACTTAAACAAGTATAATAAACTTATATTAAAAATTAAATTAAATATTTATTTTAATCTAGAAAAAGAAACTTGAATCCGATATAAATGAACTTGAAATAGCACTTGATCATTCAAATCGTAGTAATACAGATTTACAAAAAGCACTTAAACGAATACAAATACAAGTTACAGAATTATCAACACAAATTGAAGAAGAACAAAGACAACGTGATGAAGCACGAGAAGCTGCTATAACTGCTGAACGTCGTGTTAATCTTATTGTTGGTGAACTTGAAGAATTACGTACTGGTTTAGAACAAGCTGAACGTGCACGTAAAGCAGCTGAAAATGAATTAAATGATGCAGCTGATCGTATTAGTGATTTAAGTATACAAAATGCTAATTTATCATCTCATCGACGACAACTTGAATCAAATGTTGCTGCTATGCAAGCTGATTTAGATGAAGCTGTTTCTGAACTTAAAAATAGTGAAGAACGTACGAAAAAAGCTGGTAAGTAAAAAAAAATTTTAGTTTTTACGAAATTTATTTTTGTCTTTAAGCTACTGATGCTGCTCGTCTTGCCGAAGAATTACGACACGAACAAGAACATGCATTACAAGTTGAACGACTTCGTAAAGGTTTTGAACAACAAATAAAAGATCTTCAAATACGTCTTGATGAAGCTGAAGGAAATTCACTTAAAGGTGGAAAACGTGTTATTGCTAAACTTGAACAACGTGTATGTAAATCGAAAAGAGAAAATATGTATTGAGTTTTTTGTGTTATAGATTCATGAATTAGAAAATGAAAATGAATTAGAACAACATCGTCATCAGGAAACATTAAAAGAATTACGTAAATATGATCGACGATTAAAAGAATTAATATTTCAAGTTGAAGAAGATCGTAAAAATCAATTACGTTTACAAGATCTTTCAGAAAAATTACAAAATAAAATTAAAATTTATAAACGACAAGTTGAAGAAGCTGGTTTGTATTTTACATAGAAAATTATTCTTATGATTTAATTTTATTCTAGAGGAAATTGCTTCAGTTAATTTGACTAAATATCGTAAAACTCAATCTGATCTTGGTATGAAATACAATAGAAATATTTTATTAAAATTCTGCTTTGTAATTTTTTAGAAGAACTAGTTGAACGTGCTGATGTCGCTGAAAATCAATTAGGCAGATTACGCGCTAAGAATCGTTCGACCGTTAGTGTTAGCCGAGCGTCACCAGCTGTAAGTCAAAATTTAGGAAATTCAAAAAAAGTATAACATTCTTATTTTAGCGTGATTATCGTGAATCAACTATGTTACGATCTACATCAATGATTCGTTCTAGTTCGGCCCGTCCTCGTTAAACTCAGAACAAAAATATATGTGCATGTTTTTAAGATCTATTACAAAAATTTAGTCGTTTCATTTTTGTGTATTAATATATTCATAATTATTATGTAGATTGCTAAAATGTTATGTCGTTTTGTGTATTTATCTTTATTTGAAGCAAAAAAAAAAGGAAGATTTTCAATAAAAATAGAGTATGAGATTAATATTATATTACATTTCAAGGTGCATTACATTTTGATCTCGTAATAAATTTTTATTTTTATCTAAAATATGATTCATATCATTATCCATTTTTTTCTTTTGTTTAGTCAATCGATCGAGTATATCATCAAAACCAAAATCAATTAAATTTTCAAATGCTGTTTCTAAATTCGATATTTTTGCATCTAATTTTCTTATATGATCATCTTTATCTCGTTGCATATGAGTATATTGAATACGTTGTTGTGCAAGATCTTGTTCAGTTGTTTGTAAACGTGATTTTGTCGCTGTTAATTCCATTTCAAGTTGACTTATTTTAAAACCTAATTCCATTTGCATTGTTTTATATTGTTGTGTCAAACCTGATGAAACAGCTTTCATATCACTTTGAATTTCTTCTACATTAACTTGTGCTGCTTGCATTTGTTCACGATATGTATCAACAATAGCAAGTGAACGACGTGTTAATTCACGTCTATAAGCCATTTGATCTTTAAGTGCATCAACTTCATGTTGAGTTTGTTTAAATTTTGTTTCCAATTCACTTTCATCATCACCTTTCTTCTTTTTACCTTTGCCTTTCTTTTTTGGAGGCATCTTTTATTTTCTAGAAAGACAAGAAAATTTTTTGTTTTTCTATATTTCAGAAGAAGAAGAAAAAAACAGATTAACAATAATAAAAGTATTTTATTTAAATTTTCTATGTAAAACGTTCATCTTGTTCATGTCCTCGTGATGTTTCACTAATGACTTTTCTTAAAAAATCACCAAATGTT